TATATTCTGTACTAGAATTGAGAATAAGAAAAACATGCTCCTATCTCTGAGGGTTTGGTTCTAACTGGGGAGAGAGACATATAAATAGATCATTTCAATTCAATTTTAGTAGGGGTTGTATAAGGTACAAACATGGGGCAGGGAAGGCTTCATAGGGGAAGTGACTGCCTGAGTAGTGTTTTAAAGGATAAATAGAAATTTTCTAGTTAAGAGTAGAAGAATATACCAAGCAGTCAGCATGTGCAAAAACATGAAAGTTAAAAGCGTGGCATACTTAGAGAACCGATGGCAGCTTGATATTGCTAAAACAAAAAAATGCTAACCTAAGCCTAGTAGGAGAGAATGCCAGAGAGGCAGGCAATGGGAAAGCTACCAAGGCCTATGTCCCCTGGTAAGGAGTTTGCATTTATCCACCTGACTATTTTGAACTGAGAATAACATGATCAGATTTCTGAGATAGAAAGCTCTCTCTGAAGGGTTGGCTGAAAAGAGAAGAAATTGGTGATAGTGGGTGACTAATTAGAATATTTTCACAATAATCCAGGACAGAGACAGTGGCAAGGAAAACGGAGCAATTGGAGGTGTATTAACCATGTTATTAGGGGTAAATGGAAGCAAATTAGCTGGAGTAGGAAATCAGAATAATTGGTGAGAGCTGACAAGAGCTTTGCAGGGAAAACATGACCAGATGCTAAACTCAAGAGCAAAGGGATGAAGAAAGCTAACTGAAGTTTAGAAGTTGAGGAACTTAGGAATAGGAATAGCATAGACTAGACTCCCCTGGAGCCTAGGGGAGAGTCTGGCTGAGGACACAGGGGAGATCTGGAGCCATGGACATTTGCATGTCCTTGGAACTCCCCTTTCACGTGGTTGCCAGACACATTCCCTGGACAGCATGACAACCTTGCAGTAAGTGAGCATGAACAACTGTTGTTTGTCTTTAATAGTCCCATTAAGTGAAGGCAAAAATTTTTGGGAAAATGTTCTATGAAAGAATGATTCCCTGGAGATACATCTTGAGAAGAAGTGGGCTGAATTCTGTGGTCATGCGGTAGAATCTAAGATTTTTGGAGTGAAAGCTAACATGTATGTATAATATATTTCTGAAGAAATAGATTGTAGCAGTTGTTTCTAGGGAAGGGAAGTGGGCAGCTGGGAGATGGGAAGAGAGGAAGATTTTTCTCAGTACCTTTTGTACATTTTGAGTTTTGAGTGAAGGGAATTTAACATCTATTCAAAACAAAAGTTTTTAAAAAGGAAGCTGAGGAAATGCAGAAGAAAAACATTACCTTTTCACACATCTGTATGTATTTCCAAGTGACACAGTCCTGCTTGGAAAGTGGTGGGGCTGCTGATATTCATGTGAGGAATAAACTAGTTTGCCCCACTGCAGTCTTAGGACCACCATACCTTCTTAAAATGTACTGAGACATTTCTCTGCCCTATTTTCACCTCAATGAGAGCCGCCTTCCTCCCTGACTGGAAGAAGAGAGGAAATCCACTTCTAGAGGGTTTAATAGGTTCAATCCCTGTCATTCTGAGTGAAATTACCTGGGATAAAGGTGGAGATGGGAAAAGGAGAACAAAGAGCCCATATTTAGAGAAAAAATGGACAGTCTAAAATTACAAGCTTCAAAGAGAACATCCATATCCCTTTCATTTCATGGCAGGACTTGGAGCCAGAGTCTCCGAACAGGAAGCCACAGGCAACCTCTTCATTGTCAATCCATAAAAATAAGGGGAAAATGCTCCAAGCTCAAAGTCTAGAGCTAGGACTGCAATTTCAGTTCTGCCCCTAAGGTTGTGTGACCTTGGTCAAGTGGCTTCCACAGCCTATGTATCAGTATCCTTTTCTGCAATATTAGGTGATTGGATGCGTGGATGACATCCAAATTTCTTCCAATTTCCACATCCTATAATTCTAAATCTTAGCAAGTCTTGCTATATAATTCTGTAGCTTTTCCTACCAGGCATTTCACTTCTGGCTTTTGACATTTGTTTCTTACCTCTATTATCAACTTCTAGCTTTGCAAGATGGAACCTAGAGGAGGAATGGTAGAAATTGGTGGGGCTTCAACAATCTTTGTGCCTGGATCACACACTGGGTAGAAAGCTCTGGAAGTTGTTCCAGCAACTTCTCCTTCATAATCAGGTCAGTTGGAGATAATTTTGTCTTTTTCCCAAATTTCTCTCTTTCTAAGAACTCTTCTGTCTTCTTCTCTTGCAACCATTCATTTTACCCCTAAACTCCTTTTCTGTTCATTGGCCTGTACTCATGTTATCAATTGACGTGACTGAATAATACATATAATTACTTCAATAAATAATCGAGTACCTACCATGTACTAGATAGTTTTCAAACTTTTTGGTCTTAGGACCCCCTCTGCATGTTTGAAAGTTATCAGGGAACTCCAAAAGCTTTTGTTTATATGGGTTATATCTATATATATTTACTAAATTAAAAAATAAAACTGAGAAAAGTTTGAACTATTAATTTTAAAATAGCAAAAAATAGACCCATTATATGTTAATAACATTAAAAATGAAAAACAGCTATATATTCAGAACAAAAAAATTAGGGAGAGGAATGGCACTGTTTCACAATTTTGCAAATCTCTTTACTGTCAGGCTTAACATAAAACAGCTGGATTCTCATGCCTGGTTCTTTATTTAATCTGTTGCTTTGGGGTTTGTATTAGTTTCCTGGGGTTGCTGTAACAAATTACCACAAACTTGACTGCTCAAAACAACAGAAATATGTTCTTTTGCAGTTCTGGGGCCGGAAGTCCTACATCGGTTTCACTGGGCCACAATCAAGGTGTGGCAGGGAAGTGCTCCCTCCAGAGGCTCCAGAGGGAACTTCTCTCCTTGCCCCTTCCAAAATCTGGTGGCTGCTAACATTCCTTCATTTGGAAGGAATGAAGCCAGGCTCTTCCCCTATCTCTGCATCAACTGCTCTTTTGTGTGTGCTGGCTAATCTCCTCATGCTTCTTTTTTATAAGGACATTTATGATGGCATGTAGGCTTCATTGGAATAATCCAGGATAATCTCTTTATCTCAAGATCCTTAACCCAGTCCCACCAGCACAAGATTCACTATTCACCGGTTTCAAGACTAGGATGTGGACATACCCTTGGGAGCCATTATCAGCCGACAACAGGTTATTTTGTTTGATGTTTATGAAGAAAATCTGGTCTCACACAGATACGCAGTTTGGGGAAAAAGAGAGTATTTTTATTGCCTTTTCAAATAATTGTGGATATTCTTCTTTAGTACAACACCAAAATTCAACAAGAAATAGTCTCTTAAAGGTTTGTTGCAATGTGGAATTTGAAAACATATCAGTGAATTTTTCTCATGGGTTACATTAAAATCATTGGGCTTTAGGCACTTTAAATGGATCTTTCATCCATTCATAATTTTATAATATCATGCACTGATCATTTGGAAGATACTGGTTCACTGAGTTATACAGATCTTCCAAATGCAGACACATTTAATTATATATGTTCAAAAAATAACATTCATTAATACCACCTCCAATCTTAACAAAACAGTTCTCACATATTGGGAAATTATCAAACTCCTGGTGGTAGAAACACATTCTTCAAAACTGTAATTTTCATATGGAAGCTTAAATTTTATCAGTGGCAACAAATTCAGTTATTTTCCTTCAAGTGACAGACTTGCTGTTCATTTTCAAGAAAGCTACTGTTTGTTAATAAATGAAGAAAAGTGCCTGGTTCAGCTTTCAAGTCAAACAAGTTCACAAGTGCTTTTCCTTGAGGAACCCTGGTTGTGCATCAGAACTGCTTGATGTGTACTTCCCGTTTTGTCACACACTGTATTTAAAAGGAATGTACTGGGATGCCTGGGTGGCTCAGTCGTTGGGCATATGCCTTCAGCTCAGGTCATGATCCCTGGGTCCCGGGATCAAGCCCCCCACATCGGGCTCCCTGCTCCGCGGAGAGCCTGCTTCTCCCTCTCCCACTGCCTTTGTTCCCTCTCTTGCTCTCTCTCTGTCAAATAAATAAATACAATCTTAAAAAAAAAAATAAAAGGAATGTACTGAGAGGTCGAGATTTAACAAAATTAAGAATTCTTATTGCTTTATTAAAGATATTCTAAGGTAAACTGGCTTTCCCCCTCCCCCAATGGGAGTGTAGGGTGGTGAAGAGTACAATTTGCAGCCTCTGCCTTGATTTGTGCCAAGGTGCCCGCAGTTTTGCCCAATTTTGCTTTCATACCATTAGTGCAAATATCAGCACAGTTGTTCCAGGATAAACTTACTTTAAAAAATTGGTCAGTGCTCTATTTCAGCACTACTTGTGTTTATTGCCAAGCATTTTATAAAAGATCTTCAAGTATTAGTGCTGACACTGGAAAGACACAAGCAAAGCAACAAGCCTAGCTTACATCACATCTATGTTTATATAATTTTTTTGTCCATCTTCAAGGAAATATAATTTTGCAGATGAGATGTTATCACAGTCTTTACATTTGCAACTAAATTTCTTTCTTTTTTTTTTTTTTAAGATTTTATTTATTTATTTGACAGCAAGAGAGGGAACACAAGCAGGGGGAGTGGGAGAGGGAGAAGCAGGCTTTCCACGGAGCAGGGAGCCTGATGCAGGGCTCGATCCCAGGACCCTGGGATCATGATCTGAGCCGAAGGCAGACGTTTAACCGACTGAGCCACCCAGGTGCCCCGTAACTAAATTTCTAATTTGTTGAGCTATTGCATCTATGGAAAGTAGCTTGGCCATGATTTCTTTGACGGATTTTTCATCCAGGAGGCATTTCCTGAGTAACGTACAGGCTTTATTAGTCTCTCAGTTATCATTTGCCCTTTTGCAGCCAGTGCAACACAATAATTTAACCTGTACGATGCTTCAGTGGGTTTTTCATTTCTAGTTTGAAAAGTGGTAACAAAAACGCTCTGACTTTTAAAGAGCCTACAGTGTTTAAAACATTTAATTCCCTTTCCTTTCTTACTTACAGTTTTGCCCAGAAACTTCCCTTTATTTGAGTCAGAGAATCCTCTGATATTGAGGTCAATGTCACATTTTTCAGCATCTTTAGATGTGGGAAGATTGAGAAAGCAAGTCTTCTAATCTCCTTTTTGTAAGCCAACGAAAGAACCTAAAGTTAAAAAGGGTAGAGACAAAATTTTATTTTGAATAAAATATTAAATTCTAAAAGAATAACAGTTTTAAGTAAAATTTAAACATCTAGAAACTTTTTCAATAAATTAAAAACTATTCTTGGAAAGCAAGTCGACAAAACGAACTTTTTTCTTGCGTTTCTTCATAGGTGTAAGGACAGTTTAGGGATTTCTAAAAGCCATTTACTGGATGATTGACAGGGTTACAGAGATTAGGTATAAGGGAAGATAGCTTGTAAGAACACACTAGAGGGGCACCTGGGTGGCTCAGTTGGTTAGGCGACTGCCTTCGGCTCGGGTCATGATCCTGGAGTCCCGGGATCGAGTCCCGCATCGGGCTCCCTGCTCGGCAGGGAGTCTGCTTCTCCCTCTGACCCTCTTCCCTCTCGTGCTTTCTATCTCTCATTCTCTCTCTCTCTCTCTGAAATAAATAAATAAAATCTTTAAAAAAAAAAAAAGAACACACTAGAAGTACTAAGGAGAAACAGTTAATCTCTGAGAGCGCACATGTTTATACCCTAAGCCTTAGAAGGGTTCCAGAAAACAGAGGAGTACTCAAGCACACATTTCACCAGCCAACAAAGCTCTTAAGTCAACTATCCTCTTGAAAACTTCTCTGTATACTCCTTAAAGGATGAGAGCGAAAACAGCAAACAACATTTAAGTAGTATTAGGCATGTAGCTTTGACTTCGTGGATCCCCTGGAAGGGACCCAGAGACCCTCAGAGGTCACCAGACCGCATTTTGAGAACCACTGTACTAGATTCTGTTCTAGGTAGAAGCTGGGGTAACAGCAATAGATAAACTATCCCCTCCACAGGGGGATGAGGTATTTCTGTAGTGGCCGCCGTGATCAGCTCTGAAATGACAAAGAACGGAGCGCTGGGAGCGGGAAGGGCAGGAACACCTGTCCTCGTCTGCCGGGCAGTCGGCCGGGGCGGGGGGGGGGGGGGCCTCGCGACCACTTCCTTCCCCTTCCCGACTGCGTCTCCAAATCCCCGGAGAAGAGGGGTGGTCAGGAAGCGGCAGTGACCGCGACACCCCGGCGTGAGGAAGCCGCAGGACAGCCGCGCTCTCATTCGACACCGCCGGTGGAACCAGCTCCCTCAGGGCCCGAGGCGCGTGGCGCTGGGGGCCCGCGCCGTCCCGCCCCTCGGGGTGCGGGTGGGGGGAGGTGGGGGCGGATTGCCCGCAGTCCCGCAGCCTGGGAGTGGAGGCCGAATGGGGGCCAGCAATGTGCGCCTCCCGATGCGGTCTCGCGCGGCGCGGAGGCGGCTAAAGGGAAAGGGAGACCTTGGAGGGCGAAGCGTGAGAGGGACCGGCCCCAGCGGCTACCTTAAGAGGGACCCGGCGTGAGATGCCAGGGTTGCCATCGAACCCGGACGGTGCGGTCCTTCTCTTCCTCCCTAAGAGGTCACCACCGCGCGCCAGGCGAGCTAGCCGCCCTTCGCCGCGCGGACTCTCGCGCCCTCCGGCGGCCTCTCTTGAGAACGACACTGTCCTTGCCCACGCTGGACGCGAATAAAGATTTCTTCTTCAAACAAACAGGAAGTGTCTACGGAGGCCGGGCCGGCGGCTGGGCAGGGGCCGGGCATGAAGCCGGGCGGCGACCGGATCGAGGGCGGTGGCGGCGGCGGCGATGAGCGACATAGTGGAGAAGACGCTGACGGCGCTGCCGGGACTCTTTTTGCAGAACCAGTCGGTTGGCGGGCCCGCGGGCGTCAAGGCGTCTTTCTCCTCGCGGCTGGGCGGCCTCGTCCGCGGCATCACCGCGCTAACCTCCAAGCACGTAAGTGCTCGCCGGGCGGGGAGGTCGGGGCGCCGGGGGGGAGGCCCCCGCGCTGCGAGGCCCGAGTCCGGCGGCGAGCCTCCGGGGCCGGCCCTCCGGTGGGGCTTACGAACTGCGTGTGTGTCAGTCCGTCCCTCCGTCTGTCTGGAAGCGTCACTTTCCTTCTCGGACTGACAGCCGGGAGGCCGAGTTTCCACAGTTGGCCGTGACACTGAGTCATTATTATCTGGGGCCGGTCTCTTTAATCTTTGAGCCTCCGTGTGTTTCCTGAACGTTGAAGTGGAAAAGTACCAGTACGTATTCCATAGGTTGTTTCGAGGATTAGATGAGCCATCAAGCGAGGGAAAATACCGAGTGCTGTGGGAGTGTCAGCATTGTTTACCTTCTACAAAGTTTCTTTACAGGTTCTTTCTCTCCAGTTCTTTCACACATCGGAACACACCCCGTCCTCTGAACCTATTGTTCAACATCTTTGGGGAGCTTGAGGTTCTTACGTTAGACCAACCGGGTGGGCAAAGAAAAAGCGTTAATTCTCCCAAAATGTAAAATTTGTTATCTCACCCTCAGATGGGCTTTGAAAATGACAAAATTAGAAAGTATTAAGTTTCCACAAACTTTGATAGTTGAACGGATTGTGTAAGATACTTTGTTATGTCGTAATTTGCTCCAAAGTTAATTTATGAAAGAGGTTATGTGTTAGACACTGAGGAAAAAGAGTAAAACAAATTTTCTTTTCCCCAAGGAATTGGTCCTTCATCTTGGGCTTAAGACGGGTATAAACAATATACAATGACATATAAGAGAGAAGGAATGACAGAGAGAAGAATTTTCTTCAAAATGCCCTTGGGGTTTAAAACATTCTTTTTAAGCTGAAATAAGGTGATGCTCTGCTGGATGCTGTATTTCTGCTTCACATTCAGAAATCATTATTTATGCACATAATACTGTTTGTCTTAACATTTTGTCCTTTACTAATTTCTGTGAGATTCTGAGTGAAATATTTTTAAAAATTATTTTTGGTCTTAAATTGCATTTGAAACTGTACATAAGATATCTAAATGTGGCAGAATCTCACGAGTAGTTCTTGAGTAAGCTACCTAATGGACATCTGCTGATTCAGTGTGTAATTTAAAGATAGCATTCTGTTAGCCAAAAATGGGGCCAGTATTCAAGTGTGCGAAGGAGATGAAATACAGTGCAGGCAGTAGAAGTAATCACATTGGTGTATTTGTTGTGTGTATGAGAGAGAGATGGGAAGTGAGGCAAAGGATCTGAGGAATAAGGAGGAAAGAAGAGGGAAGAGTGTAGCTTAAGGGAAAAAGACTGATTTCTGTTTCTTCCTTCTTACCCTGTTTCTCTTTTCTATGAAGACTTTTTACTTTTATTTATTTCTTAAGATCTTTTTATTTTTAAGTTACCTCTACACCCAATGTGGGGCTCAAGCTCAGAACCCCAAGATGAAGAGTTGCATGCTCCACTGACTGAGCCAGCCAGGTGCCCTAGGACTTTTTACTCTTAAAGGGAAGGTGTGAGAACCTTATTCTGGACCAGTGCATGAAAAATGTCTTCTTTCTCTCCACCTTTAATTCAGAACAAAGCAAAGCAAAACAAAACAAAAAATATTTTCTGCTAAACTGTCCTTGAGGGGACAGTAATTAAGTGAAGGAAAGAGGAATGGTGGATTATTCTTTCCAGGAATGATTGGGAGGGTTTGGAGAAATGCCTTTAGGCTAATCTTAAGCACGTAATTTTTAGAACTGTCCTTTAAAATAACGTTTATTTTTTTTTTTGTTTAAAGTATTATGAATTATATTTTTCTTTTTAAGAAATATTGTTACAGTTTGAAAAGATCATTATTTGTCCATTTAAATACTTTCACTTTTTTAGGAGGAAGAGAAACTAATCCAGCAGGAACTGAGTAATCTGAAAGCAACTGTTTCTGCTCCTGCAACAACACTGGTAAGTTTGCATAGTCAGTGCCAGTACATTTTATATTTGAAATCTGGTCCACTGTGGAGTCTGTAGTGGCATCTAATTGATCAGTTGCTAAAATCTAGTTTATCATAGTCACAATCAGTTATGGATGGTAGCAAGTCAGACATCAGCTTAAGTTTTTTATTATTGACTGGCTCTACCATAGCAAGACGTGCTTGAGTGATGTCAATTCAACGCCAGCGTGATGATAATTACATAAATGTGGCAATACTCATGGGACCCCAGTGCTGAACTTACTGTTTTAATGTTGTGCACTGGGAAAAGGTTATGATACATCATTTAAGGTAATATTTTCAGTCCTGAATTGGTATATTATAGATCTCTCATTTTACTATTCTACATCATCTTGGAATATAGGTGAACAAGGTAGAAAAATGGTTTTCTTGCCGTAAAAAAGTGTATTGCACAACAGCTAAATCAAGTTCCAGTTATTTTAGAACTTGAGTTCCATGTAACTTGATTTCTCAAACAGCATTCTTTTAGCAGCTATTTAGTGAGTAGCCACTATATGCAGGCCACTGTCCCCACATAGTTAGATTAAGACCTAAGTTTTTTCTTTTAATTTTCATGTGGCTTCATATAATGAGATTTTGCCAAGCAACATTATTCAGCAAATATTTAGTGAATGCCTTCTTTGTGTAAGTCACTGTGGAAGTATTCTCCCTCTTCTAATAAAAATATTGGGGGTGATCATTTTGCATGAACACAATAGTGTACATGAATAACATTTCTTCTTTGGGGGGTTATTTTTATTATTATTTTATTATTTTATTTTATTATGTTAGTCACCATACAATACAGCACCAGTTTTCTTTTTGTTTTTTTTTTTTAAAGAGAGAATGAGAGAGAGAGAGAGAGCACATGGGGGGTGTCAGAGGGAGAAGCAGACTCCCTGCTGAGCAGGGAGCCTGATGCGGGACTTGATCCTGGGAGTCCAGGATCATGACCTGAGCTGAAGGCAATCGCTTAACCAACTGAGCCACCCAGGCGCCCCACAGCACCAGTTTTCGATGCAGTAATCCATGATTCATTGTTTTTGTACAACACCCAGTGCCCCATGCAGTATGTGCCCTCCTTAATACCCATTACCGGGCTAACCCATCCCCCTAACCCCCCTCCCCTCTAAAACCCTCAGTTTGTTTCTCAGAGTCCATAGTCTCTCATGGTTCATCTCTCCTTCCGATTTCCTCCCTTCATTTTTCCCTTCCTTCTCCTAATGTCCTCCATGCTATTCCTTATGTACCACAAATAAGTGAAACCATATGATAATTGACTTTCTCTGCTTGACTTATTTCACTTAGCATAATCTCCTCCAGTCCCATCCATGTTGATGTAAAAGTTGGGTATTCATCCTTTCTGATGGCTGAGTAATATTCCATTGTATATATGGACCATGTCTTCTTCATCCATTCATCTGTTGAAGGGCATCTCGGCTCTTTCCACAGTTTGGCTATTGCGGACATTGCTGCTATGAACATTGGGGTGCATATGGCCCTTCTTTACACTACATCTGTGTCTTTGGGGTAAATACCCGGTAGTGCAATTGCTGGGTCATAGGGTAGCTCTATTTTTAATTTTTTGAGGCACCTCCACACTGTTTTCCAAAGTGGCTGTACCAACTTGCATTCCCACCAACAGAGTAAGAGGGTTCCCCTTTCTCCACAACCTCTCCAACATTTGCTGTTTCTTGCCTTGTCCACTTTTGCCATTCTAACTGGTGTAAGGTGGTGTCTCAGTGTGGTTTTGATTTGAATTTCCCTGATGGCTAATGATGATGAACATTTTTTCATGTGTCTGTTAGCCATTTGTATGTCTTCTTTGGAGAAGTGTGTGTTCATCTCCTCTGCCCGTTTTTTGACTTGAATGTTTTTAAAGTCTAAGAGAATGTATATATTTCCTTTTATGATCATAGAAATATTTGGACAAATGAAGCTCAAAGCATAGTTAATCTGATATATTTATGTGTATATAGGTATATGTGTGTGTGTGTGTTTAGATATGTATATGTGTGTATATGTATGAAATCATTGTGGTATTTATTCATGATACTTGATAGAAATGTTAAGCAGAAATGGTTTCTCTCCTTTTACTTTGTTTGATTTCCATTTTTTATAATTGATACATCTGGAGAAATAAGATAAATAGGTAGAAGTTAGGGAGCCAGAGTTTGGAAGGAAGATTTTGTAATAATTATAGACATCCAACTCTGGGCATGCTTTTTTTTTTTTTTTTAAGAGAGAGAGAGCAAGAGAGCATGATAGGGCAGGGGCAGAGAGAGAAGGAGAGAGAGAATCTCAAACAGGCTCCATGCTCAGCTTGGAGTCCCATGCAGAGCTCCATCCATGACCCTGAGATCATGACCTGAGCCAAAATCAAGAGTCGGATGCTTAACCAACTGAGCCACCCAGGTGCCTCTCTGGGCATGCTTTATTGTCTGTCCCTGAGGTGGTTGGGTAGAGGTTGCATGACAGTTTGTTAGAGAAATTGTAAAAAAAAATTCTGCTTTGGGGAATGGACTTCTCTAAAACTAGGAGAATAATAATGTATGCAATATAATTTTTTTTGAAACATTTATTTATCATAGTTCTGGAAGCTGGAAGTCCAAGATTTAGTTCCTGGTGAGGGGCAATATAATT